CCTTGGTCACAGGTGCTCAAATGTGAATCATTGCGAATGCGTCTCTCCCATCGGCTGGAACTAACCGCGGCTTGGTTGGGTGGTTGGTTGGCTGAAGTGTGAGAGGTGGCGGCGACCTCATCTCGATTTCGAGATAGATTGTCGATACAAGCCAGTTGTCGCCACGAGATTCCGCCGTATTTTTATGGCTCAAATTGTATGGCCTGCTGGTCACCCTGCTCCCTGGTTTTCACACCTCAAAGGCGGCCTTGGGTTTTGCATCATTTGTTGAGGCTGCCAGGGTAACACGCGCCTGGGTGGCCGGCTGGATACCCTTCGCTCGGGTTGGGGGCCTCAATTTGACCCTCCTCAGATCTTGGGAACTAAGAAAACTAGAAGCACCAAATTTACAGGATGTGTTGACCTGTACGTGAACTCACTTTGGTCAAGGTTTCAGATTCCTAGATCATGACCTTCGGTTCAAACAAGGTCAAAGAAGGTTAAGTTCCAGGTTGGTCTCCAAAGTGCTCTCAGAACCTAGATAACCGTTTTTAAGCAAAAGGTCACACTCTCATTAAAGGCCATTGACCTTGTTTGACCTTTTGAAGGTCAAGGTGACCAAAATCATACAAGATTGATTTGAGTTTTGCCTTTGACTAAGCGACAAAGATTACGCTAGGCAGCATATTCCTAAAACAAAATGTGGACCTGGGTCATTTTATCACTTTAGGTCAAATACCTATTCTGATCTCTAAGAAGTCCATGGAAGATGTGTAATGCGGTTCCTACTATCAATAAACTAAAAATGAGCACCAGAAACTTTCCCATACAGCAATCCCTAGAATAACAAAACAGGTTGGTTTTGACCTTCGTGTAACCTTCATACCTGACCTTAGGTCAATTTAATCTGCTGATTAAACTGTTGTGTTGCCTAATATAACAACCCGGGAGATGTATGGCTTCGTCTAACGCTCCGTTGTGGGATCAGATTGAAGGATTCCCTAAAAATTGTCTTCGCTGAAACCATGGCCTAACTTTGGACCTGCCATAGGTCAGCGACCTAACAAGGTACGTCTAACGGTACAAGCGACCTTACAAGGTACAATTAACTGACTAACGTCATCGTGACCCGACTGATGCCATCATGACATAGCAGACATTATCGTGACAAGTCTGATGTTATTATGATGTGGCTGACGACATTATGGCGTGACGAACGTCATTGTGACGTGACTGACGTTATTGTGATGTGACCAACGTCACTTTATCGTGACTGACATCACGGCGACGTAACTGACGGCATAACTGTCGCTTGCCATTTGGCCGTGCCAGTCGCACTGCTCGCCTCCCGCGAGCGTCTCGGCACGTGCGCCTTGATTCTGTCAAATCAAAGGTGGCAAGACAGAACGGTCGACAGGATTTTCGGTGACCTGGAGTTGTTACTGGTTGGGTTGTAAAGGAACTTTGAATGCTAAGGTCATGCCTCACCGCAGAGTGACTGGAGCTAATGATCTCGGTGGACGCATCTATGCTTAAGCCGTCTCAGGTTAAGCGATTGGCATGCCGTTTGTCGTCTGCTTCGTGCCAAGAACATTTTTCAACTCCTTCAATAACAGAGATAATCAGTAGCATTAGCATTATTCCTCGGAAAAGGACATGAGGATGACATATACTTAGGTCGATATTTCGGCAACATGCCTTTCTCGAGACAACAGCAGAAGTGAGTTCACTTCCGCTGTTGTTTCGAGAAAGGCATGTTGCCGAAATATCAACCTAACTATATCTCCATTCTCCTGTTTTTTCCCGAGGCATGAGGCTAATACTACCGTCTTATCTCTGTGGCTAATGTTCTTCGGTAATGCACTGAACAATTTACGCAATCTATCCACAACGATGTTGACATGGCCTCGCTGGCGCGTTCCGTCGCGTATCGTCGCGCAGGTCTCAGGCGCCACCCTCGTCGGGCCAGGGAAGAGAAAAGGAAGTGAGCACCCCTCGAGATTTTAGCTCCCGCACTTGGTGGTGAAAATAAAACCACCGGAGAGAGAGGCTGCGCCCAGACGTGACGAGGTCGCAACTGCTTGACCTTCGGTCAGATTTGGAGTCATCGGACAGGCAGTGTCAAAATGAGTCGAGGGACATGTTGCTACGTATCACGCATTTTGGTAGAAGGAGGGGCAATTGTTTGGACTTGCAGTTATGGTGAGGCCATGACGTTATGTAGTTTTCACTTCTACCACGGGTGAGGTTAGGTCAGGTCACGATTGCGAAATGATGCACATGTACTGGACCAACATTCACCGTTTCTTTTTACCTCTGAGCACACGTCTGGCTGTTTTATTTACCAGCACGCTGATGACATACCCAATTGGCCGAGAATTTCGGGAAACCAGAGTGTCGTATTTCAGGCTGCCGAAAAGGTCAATTAAGTCACCTATGGTTAAATTATCAAGATACCAAACAGAAATGTTCAAAGCTTTAGATGAGCCAAAGTGATATTTTCAGAATTTAGAAATGGTAAGGAAAGACCGCGAAAGGCTATATGAGGTAGGATGAGTTCACATACGCCCGCTAATAGATCTTCAGAATTCGCTAATAGAACTTCAGAAACGCAGAATTCTATCCTGCGTTTTGCATATGAATTGCGCCATATACAACCGCAACCTCCCAAAGCTTTGTCTTGGCTTTGAGGCAAAGTAGAAGTGTACGCCCCTACTTCAGGCCAGCTTTAATCTAGGGACTGTCCTAAATGTTTAACTGGAATAAAACATGTTTTCCATACTGCTAGTTATATCGGTTTGATTATTGCATGTATTGTAACAATTCGCGATATATTACAATGCCTCAGCTTTTAGGTTACATCAATTTCCAATTTGTGCACGCTTATCATCCGGTCTGACCAGACTCTATTTCAGTTCTTTAAAGATCATTTGAATAATACATCACAATATGACGTGACAATTTACGCAATTAAATTTTTTTAGACATTCAGTTAGCATATTTATAGTAGACTGTACGACATTTACAACTAGGGTGAATCCAAACATGATGTCCGAAGTGCTCGCGCCACACACATTCAAGTTCACACGGCAGTCATTCTGCCACTTCTTCCCGCCGGCCGACTTCTGACTCTTGTCTTGCTCTCATCGCGAGTTAAAAGGTCATCGCTCTCTTTTCCCCATTGCTGTACACCTCATTGCGTCGTTGTTTACATGTGGATGTGTGGAACAAGGCGCCAGTCACGGTCCTTGGGCGCGTTGTCCAGGAAGCTGTAGCCATTGCACATGACAAGTCACCCAGCCGGTTGTCCTTCCCGACAAGATCGTGAGCGTGATATGGAGGAGTCCGTGGGCAAACGGAATGCATTTTCGCGATACGCCCTAAGCATTGTTTCATCGCGTCACAGTCGCTCATTCAAGGTCACAGGAGGTTCTTGAGCTCGTGTCGCAGGTAACAAGAGGTTAACTTTGGATGATCTCCATTGACCTGTTTCTGATTTAGATTTTGAGGCAATGGTGGTTTTTGCGCTGGATTCCAATGAAATTGAATTTTTATTGTAATTCCAATTAGTAAGGGCATGTAGAAAACAAGGGATTCATTCTGGGCAGACGGTTTCTATTTTATAGAAGCCGTATAGTCGTGTGTTTGAACCAACATGCACCCACATCAACGGATCGTAACCTGAACCCAGGTCATGAGTCATATGATGATGAACATGCTGTTGGTCACACTGTTGATAGTAACTGATCATCAAAATCCCGTGAAAATCCTCGACAAGTTAGTACAACTATCCAAACTGGTTCGAATTGACATGACATCAGTTCAAATAACATTTAATTTATTGAAACATTTGAAACGTGCAAATGATGTCTTACTATTTTTACCAGATGATCACAGTCCTTTGCTTCGGCGAGTTTCTGCGATATGGATAAGCGTGGGACGCTTTTTTTTAAATCGACATTTGACATTACCTAGGTTAACTAGATAATGCCAAAGGTGATGACTTGCGTGACTGGATCAAAAAAGTACCAAGGGGATTACGGGACAGGTCACAACATTTTAGTGCGCTACGTCTGTCGAACATTTTTTAGCAATCGCTGACGAACCAGAAGACCGACAACTGAACTTCCGCCCGGCCCGGCACGTGCTGAAAATCGGTGCCCTTAAAGCTCTGGCGACGTGTCGTGTCGACATATCCGAGCTCACAATTGTTGTTCGCTGCGGTTCCTTTTCATGTCTGGGTACTGCACTGCGTATGTATCACGCACGAGCAAATACAATTTTCCTGCTTATTTCGTGTTCACGCGTACGTGCGTGCGTGTTTCGGTGTGATTTTGCGTGATTTCGGTGTGATTTTGCGTCTTGTGCACAAGGTGCACCATCCCCTTGATATCAATCAAGCACCATAACACCGACCGGCGTCCATTACTAGGCTGTGTCAGCTAGAAGTGTTGGTCACTACAGTGCAGTGTGTAATACTGCATGTTTAATATCTGGTAGATATGCAACACGTTTAAGTATGCTCTCTTAGCACCAAGTACCAGCATTCAGTCTGGCCGAGCCGTATTGCCAGCCCAGCATGCAAGGTCATAATGACCTTGACAACATTTGCCACGATTTTGTGGCGGAATAATGCAACACACTGCGAGGTTGAAATTTATTACATCGATTTAAGCGATAGCCATTGCATTACTCCCTTGACGGTCCCACGATCCGAGCCGCTTGGCCACTGCAATGTAACCAAGCGCTTGTGGGCGTCCATTTATCGCGCGCGGAACATGGCTTGCAGCGCGTTATCAACTGTTGCGAGAAATGAATCCACCAGTGGCAGAACTGTGGCGTGGCAAATGTCGTGTGTCACACCATGTGTGTCTTGTGGTAGATGACACCAACAGCGACACTTAGAATGACATTGACAAAGCTGGCTGCGGGCGATTACTGCGTGTTGCGTTTCCCTGGACTGTAACAGGAACAGCGGCTTTAACGGGATCTGACCCTCACCCCATGCGTCCCCTCGGCAGAAACACCGGAAGGACGTCAACAACTTCGACAAGCAGTTCACGTCGGAGAAGACGGACCTCACGCCCACCGACAAGCTGTTCATGATGAACCTCGACCAGACAGAGTTCTCCGGCTTCTCCTACTTGAACCCCGAGTACGTGCAGCACGTGTAGGATGTGAATCAGGAGCTTGAACCGGGGGTACGCGCAGCACGCGTGGCACCTGGGAATCAGATGCGCGCAGCACGTGTAGAATCCAAACAACGAGCACGCGAGACACGTGCAGGACTCAGAGTGGGTGGTGGAGGGCCTGCAGGGTCGGAGCCAGCCCTCGAGCTGAGGGAGCTGGCGCCCCGCCCTTTCCAGCATTTCAGCTTCCCTGATTCGTGCTTAACGGTGCGCAGTATTATAGTTCATCGGAACTGGACCGGGTGCGGTGCAGCGCCTCTGAATCGAGCGCCGGCAGCGCCTCTGAATCGGGCGCCGGTAGCGCCTCTGGATCAAACGCCGGCAGCGCCTCTGGATCGAGCGCTAGCAGCGCCTCTGAATCGAGCGCCGGCAGCGCCTCTAAATCGAGCGCTGGCAGCGCCTCTGGATCGAACGCCGGCAGCGCCTCTGAATCGAGCGCCGGCAGCGCCTCTAAATTGAGCGCTGGCAGCACCTCTGGATCGTGCGCCGGCAGCGCCTCTAAATTGAGCGCCTGGCAGCACCTCTGGATCGAGCGCCGGCATCGCCTCTGAATCGAGCGCTGGCAGCACCTCTGAATTGAGCGCCGGCAGCGCCTCTGAATCGAGCGCCGGCAGCGCCTCTAAATTGAGCGCTGGCAGCACCTCCTGGATCGAGCGCCGGCAGCGCCTCTAAATTGAGCGCTGGCAGCACCTCTGGATCGTGCGCCGGCAACGCCTCTAAATCGAGCGCTGGCAGCACCTCTGGATCGAGCAGCCGGCAGCGCCTCTGAATCGAGCGCTGGCAGCACCTCTGAATTGAGCGCCGGCAGCGCCTCTGAATCGAGCGCTGGCAGCACCTCTGGGTCGAACGCCGGCAGCGCCTCTGAATCGAGCGCTGGCAGCACCTCTGAATCGAGCGCTCTAAATCGAGCGCTGGCAGCACCTCTGGGTCGAGCGCCGGCAGCGCCTCTTAATCGGGCGCCGGCTGCGCCTCTGGATCGAGCGCCGCAGTCGACTGCGCGCTCAG